TGAACACTGGAATTTGACACAACATTGTAAAATGATTATAAATCAATAAAAATGTTAAAAAAATTTAAAAAAAGAAGGGAACGTTTTGTTAAACCAAAGCTTTTTAAAAATTTTTTACCAAAATATAATTCACATAACAGAAATCTTACTATTTGTATGTGTGTTAACACTTAAAGAAAAAAGAAAAAAAAAAGTCTCACTTCATGGAGGTCCCGGTTTCTTTTCCCTTTTTAAATTTTATTTTTTATTAAAGTATAGTGTTAAGTTTCAGGTGTACAGCAAAACAATTCTGTTATACATATACATACATATATATTTTCTTTACAGATTCTTGTTCATTATCTGTTATTGCAAGAAATTGAATATAGTTCCCTGTGCTATACAGTAGGTCCTTGCTGTTTACCTATTTGTGTGTCTGTTAATCTACAGCCCCCAATTTATCCCTCCCTACCCTTTCCCCTTTGGTAACCATAGTTTGTTTTCTGTGTCCATGAGTCCGTTTTTGGTTTATAAATAGAATTTGAATCATTTTTCCTTAGATTCCACATATAAGCAATATCATATGATATTTGTCTGACTTACTTCACTTAAAATGATAATCTCTACGGACATCCAAGTTGACGCAAATGGCATTATTTCATTCTTTTTTAATCACTGAGTAATATTCCATTGTATATATAACCACATCTTCTTTATCCAGTCATCTATGGATGGACATTTAGGCTGTTTCCATGTCATGGCTGTTGTAAATCGTGCTGCTATGAATGCTGGGGTGCAGGTGTCTTTTTGAATTATAGTTTTCTCCAGATATATGCCCAGGAGTGGGATTGCTGGATCATATGGTAAATTAATTTTTAGTTTTTTAACTCCATACTGTCCTCCATAGTGGCTGCACTGATTTACATTCCCACCAACAGTGCAGGAGGACTCCTTTTTCTCCACACCCTCTCTATCATTTATTATTTGTAGACTTTTCAATGATGGCCATTCTGACTGGTGTGAGGTGATGCTCATTGTAGTTTTGATTTGCATTTCTCTGATAATTCGTGATATTGAGCATTTTTTCATGTGCCTATTTGGCCATCTGTATGTCTTCTTTAGAGAAATGTCTATTTACATCTTCTGCCCATTTTTTGATTGGGTTGTTTGTTTTTGTGATATTAAGCTATATGAGCTGTTTGTGTATTTTGGAAATTAATCCCTTGTTGGTCATGTCATTTGCAAATATTTTCTCCCATTCCGTAGGCTGTCTTTTCATTTTATTTATGGTTTCCTTTGCTGTGCAAAAGCTTTTAAGTTTAATTAGGTCCCATTTGTTTATCTTTGCTTTTATTTCCATTACTCTAGGAGCTGGTTCAAAAAAATACTGTTGCAATTTACGTCAAAGAATGTTCTGCCTGTTTTCCTCTAGGAGTTTTATAGTATCCAGTCTTACATTTAGGTCTTTAATCCATTTGAAATCTTACCATTTTAAAGTGTAAAATTCAGTGGTTTTTAGTACATTCACTATGTTGTGCGACCATTGCCACTACCTAATTTAAGAACATTTCCATCAGAAAAGGGAACATTTTGAAAAAGAATTTCAGTGTGTAAATATTTTCTCTAAATAGAGAAATGATTAGCAAGGTGTATGGAGAAGACAATGCCAATTCCAGGAAATAAGCTAACGGATTCTTTCCGTAGAGCTAGGAACTCAGAGCAACACAGTTAAAGTCCCAGCACAAAAATGTTTGAGACAATATCGCTAGACACTCCCTGACAAGAGAATAATTACACTGGGAACAGCAAGAAGAAATCTAAGGTAGCTGAGAAAAAGCAAATAGGCTAAGAAATGAAGCAAGAGGGATTGCAGTTAGATATGTAGAAGAACTTCCTGACCATCATAGGGATAAAATGTTGATCAAAGGAACTATGAAACTCATTAACCAGAGATATTCAGAAACATGATATAAATTTCTATTTGGTTTCCTAATTGCACAATAGTTTTCTCTTCCTCAGAATCTTTTAAGAGCAAAAATATCCTTTAATATATATATGACCCCCCAAAAATATATACATTAACCCATATTTGTTTTTTATGGTTTTACTTAATAATGACTGGTATTATTTTCCTAGTGTTGTAAGTATAATGATTATTATTTTATAGAATTATTTACTAATATTTGTAGAACATCTCTTAGATGACACATGCTTTCACACATGAAAGCTCATAAACACCTGTAAGTCAGTAAAAGAGTAATTGCCCAAGGCTGCATTTGGGAGTCCGTGTCCAGACTCCTTTAGCACCCTGTGCGGTCACACTGTGTCTCACCTCACACATGGCTGTTGATTTGTTTTCTTGGTGACAGTACTCAAAGATATTCAAAGGCAGTGACCGTGAACTTTTCATAAATGACTCTTCAGCATATACCCACAAGTCATATGCTCTCAACAACTGTGTGAATGGAAGAATGTCTAGTAAGGGTCTGGACTCTAAATCAGTACTTAATAAATGCTCACTAGCTCAATGACTGCACTGGTGAGACTATGTGGGATCTGCTCCATATTAATTGAGGATTCTCTTCTCTCTGGGCGCTCAAGCCTCACTTCATTTTTCCTTCCCTTAACAGAGGCACTGGGGATTGAACCCAGGACCCCACACACACCAAGCATATGCTCTACCATTGAGCTATACCCCCACCCCACCAAACGTCACTTCAGACAGCAGAGCAAAAGCTCCGAGAAATAGAGGAGGGGAGTGTAATTCCTCTGTAAGCAAGAGAATGGTCCATGGCCACTGGGTAATTCTCCCTGTTGTTTGTATCTGAAACTGCTTGTCTTCAACAATTTAGGCTTTGGGTTAGTCACCACTAACAAACGTGCTAACTCCTTGGGACAACAGATTATTTTTGGTTTAAGGTTATGAATAAAAAGCAAGAGGGATTGGTAATGATGTCACAGCATAAAGATGAGGGAAATAATTTAATTTCCTTTCTCTGGAAGGTCATTTCTCCCAAGGAGAAAAAAATTCTCCTTTAGGGTGTCAATACCCTTCCTGGCATCTTCCCCTTCTAGTTTGCTTTTCTCTGTCTCCTCTTGATCCTTAGGGAGGTGAGCATTTATAATTTAAAGATGATCAGATGATGATGTTGGGAAAGTGAGAGTTGGTGAAGGTGGGCAAAAACAGGCAGTGCTTTTTTTTTTTAAGTGAAGTATAAGTCAATTTACAGTGTTGTGTTAATATCTGGTGTACAGCATGGTGATTCAGTTATATATATATATATATATATATATATATATATATATATAATGTTCCTTTTCATATTCTTTTCCATTATAGGCTATTACAAGGTATTGAATATTGTTCCCAAGTTTATACTTGTTTATTTTACATAGTAGTTAGTATCTGCAAATCCCAAACTCCTACCTGGTAACCATAAGTTTGTTTTCTATGTCTGTGAATCTGTTTCTGTTTGGACAAGCAGTGCTTTTAAAAGGAAGAACAAAAGCATACACTTTAATTTCCTAAGTGTTTCAGGATGTGTCTTTAATAAAAGGAAAGAAGTGGCTACTTGTATGGTCATTTAGACACCGCATTTGCCAGTCTGTGTATACAAAGAGGCTTTGTGGAGGCAGAAGATGGCTGAGTCCAGCACATCTGTCCATATACCCCCCTCCTCTAGAGGACATTGTGGGCAGGGGGCATAGCTCAGTGGTAGAGCGCATGCTTAGCATGTACGAAGTCCTGGGTTCAGTCCCCAGTACCTCCATTAAATAAATAAACTAAAGGACATTGTATGCTGAGTGGTCTGACCCTCAGTGGTCTATGCACTCTCTGGCCCTGCATTGCAAGCTCTGGGATCTCAGAGATTAGCAAAGTGAGAAGGACAGGAAGAAGAGGAGAAGATCCAGCAATAGGGGCAGGGGTGACTTCAAATACAGCAGCGAAAGCATGAGGAGGATCACCTATTTCCAGGAATTAGCAATGATTAAAAAAATGAGAGGGTAGAGTATAGCTCAGTGGTAGAGTGGGTGCTTAGTATGCACAAGGTCCTGGGTTCGATCCTCAGTACCTCCATTTTTTTAATTTAAAAATAAATAAATAAACATAATTACCTCCCCCCGCCAAAAGATTTAAAAAGAAATGAAGTACACAAAATAAACAAAATGCTAGGAGACCAAACTTATTTACCAAAATGCATGACCAAGGTTTTCTGAAGATCTTGTTAGTTCTTCAGTCTACCCAGATCAAACCCATTGCCTTTTTTGCAAATTATGTGGGACTATTTTTTTAATGCTTTCTTGGAGAAAAATACAAGTCACCACTTTTGTTAGTCTCTGTAGCCCTAATCTAGCTAAGGTAACAATATGGCAAAGGCTATGTATAAAGCACAGAAAATGCAATGGCAATGATCTTAAAAATGGAGGTTATGTAGACATGACTGAAGTGATCAGTCAGCAGCCATCCCTTCCTGACTTTAGAATGAAAAGGATATTTAACATAGTATTCAGGATGAAGGAAAAGCCCATCTTATGGAAAGCTTTCTGTTGAAGGCTTAATTAAGAATTCTTTTTTTTTCAGTGGGCTGAGGTACTTAGGTTTATTTATCATTTTTTCAATGGAGGTACTGGGGACTGAACCCAAGTCCTGGTGCATGCTATGCACACTCTACCACTGAGCTACACCCTCTCCAAGACTCTTTACTGACATGTATAAATAAGAAAATAAAAAGCATTTTTCCACATTTAAATTTTGTCTAATCAGTTAACTGAGTGAAATCTGATTGACACAGTGAGTGTCATTGGCCTTCAATTTGGTAGCATGGTAATTTCAACATCATCAACTCTCAGCTACTGATGGCAATGAGGGATAGAAGAATCATGAAAATGGAACGGTCCCATACACCCTTGGGCATATTCTTAACTGAAAATCAAAAACCTTGTCCTTTTTACCCAAGGTCAACCCTGTGAGAAGGAGACTCCTGGAAGAGGACCTGTGGCCACTCATGACAATATGATTTGAGGCCTTAAGAGTCCCTATCCCCACCCCATTCAAGGGCATCTTTCACCTGGGGTGATCATGTTTGAAGTTCTAAACATCAAGAGTAAGTCTCTCCATCCCTCTATGTCAGAAAAACTGTTGATAAAGAAAGCAGTTCCACAGAAAGACGATCAGTAACTCTTATCTCTAGCAAATGATTTGTAGTAAATTGCTTTTCACACTTTTTGGACACAGGGAAATCCGAAAATGACTTTAACTACAAGAATCTGATTTTATATGCAGCTTACCAGTGGACAGGCAGCTGGATGGATGCTCATGGAATAGAAGAGCAAACAACTTTCAATTCAGATAAATCTCTATAAATAAACAAAAAGAATCTGATTTTAGCACAGCCTGGTTAAACATAGAGCTAAAAAATTCTAAATCAATTCCTTTAGACCCTTCCCAGAATCAGCGTTTCCATGTTACACGATTCCAAGGAGTGTGATGAAGCCATAGTCTGTGTGAATAGTGCCCCCTGCAGTTGTACAGTTCAAAGCTTGTGAGGCCATGTGTGAGATCCCCTTCCAGACCTCTCCGGTGAAATAACGATGTTGACCAGTTTGCTATGGAGATTTCAGACGAGAACAATTAGAACCACTGTGAGTGCTTCCCAGTTAGAGGGCTTGTGATAGAACCAGGAAAGATGATGGGTAGCATTAATAGTCCCTCTCCAAACTTCAGGGATTTTAACAGCATTTTTAATCATCTTTGAGGTTTTTCAAATCAGTCTTTCAGAAATGGAGCTAGCACTGCCCCTAAGAAGACAAGGTAAAAATTACCACTGCTGGAACTACCCTGTTTGATCCTATAATGGTGAATACATGTAACTATGTTTGTCCAAACCCACAGAACGCACACCACCAAGAGTGAACTCTGGGGTAAACTATGGACTTTAGGTGATAATGTGTCAACACAGGCTCATCAATTGTAACCAATGTACCACTCTACAGGGGGATGTTGATAGTAGGGGAGGCTGTGCATGGGTCGGGGCAGGGTGTATACGGAAACTCTCTATACCTTCCACTCAATTTTGCTGTGAACCAAAAACTGCTCTAAAAAATAAAGTTAAATTTTAAAAATTGTTTAAATTACCACTGGCCTCAACCAATGTTCTCAATCAGGAATTGTGTGGTATTTCTTCCCTTGAAAGCTCAACAGAACAGCAAACCATTGTTTTAATCCCAGATACTTCATTTGTATATCATGTTAAGTTTTCAAGTCAGTTTCACATCCATATTTCAATTTGACCCTTCCAGTAAGAGTTGGTGTTGCTCACAGGAGGTAGATTAAACATTACTAGTCCAATAGGACAGGGGATGATGCTGGAATGAGGTAGGATGAGGGACTTTTCTGTGGTTCCACAGTCAGTTGAGAGAGCTCCAACACAGATCAACATTTCCTCCTCCATAGCCAGTGCATTTCCCTCTTCACAACGCTACCTCCAGGCCCTGCCAAACACAGCATCCAAATGAGACTTCAGCTGGGCAGCAAAAAAAGGCATACATATGTTTAGAGTATCATACCACATGCCAAAGCATCCTGTTCTCCAGGAAGGAGAGGGAGTAACACTCCAGTATTTCTGCTGTTGGGCAGTAAAGGATTAACTCAGCAGGTCTGGGTTATGGGAACCCTGCAAGTGCCAAAGAAAAGTTATGCCCTTTCCTGCAGCTCCTGGGAGAGAACCTCTAAGCCCCTGGAAGAGCCTACCTGTTAAGAGCATCTCTGACTATCTGGGGCCTTGGCCATAACAGATATGTTATGCCAACAGTATGATTTATGGTGGAAGCCTTGGGTCATGTGGTGTTATTTGGCCTCTGGAGGGCTGGAGACTGAGTAGCTAAGGTCAGTCACATGGGTGCCACATGGTTGTCCCATGCCTATATGACTGGTCCCCTATGAAAACCCCATTTACCAAGGCCCCAGTGAGCTTCCCTAGTTGACCATACTCCATACACATTGTCACACTAAGAAAATTAAGCGCTGACCATTTGACTCCATTGGGAGAGCACAAATAGAAGCTTGCACCTGATCTCTCCTGGGCTCTGCTCTATGCACCTTTTTCCATTGCTGATTTTAATCTGTATCCGTTCACTGTAATAAACTGTAACTATGAGTTTAATAGCTTTGCTGAGTTCTGTGAGTCCTAATGAGTGATTAACCCTAAGGGTGGTCTTTGAGACCCCCCAAACACAACTGTGATTATGGATGAGGTCACTTACAAAACCAGACTGTTGCTGGCTTGGCAAAAATTCACATATTCATATACTCCTGCCCTCACCATCCAACCAAACCCAGGAATCTAGGATGTGCCCTTCACCACCCAAGGTTCACCCAGCAGACCCCAGACAGTAGCTGCCTTCTCTCTGTGACCCATGTGCACACATCTCACTGTCCTACCACAAACACACTAGAACCTTCCCAAGAGGGATCTCCCTCCAGCCAGCTAAATAGAGACCTGTCCCAAAGGCAGCCGGGCCACGATAAGGAGACAGTGTCACTATTAAGAGGCTAAGAAGCAAATACAACACACCTACAATTATTTCTGTTGAATGGTTCCAAGAGGGACCTTGGGCTTCCTACTTGATGACATATGGCCACTGCTGTCCTGTGGAGGTGATCTGCAGTCTCATTAGCCCCTTTCCCAGCCACAGCACAGCATGGTAACCATCTGTCTTGTTGGCTCATAGAGCACAGCCTGGGACCTTTGGGAAGTGTGCCTCATTCCACAGCTGGTCTTCCTCTTGACCAGACTGAATATTAAACCTTGTCTGGCCATCTTCCCAGCCCCAGCTTGTTAATACTAATGGTTTCATCAGCACCCAAATATTATCGCTAGCGAATGTAATTTCCACTTTGTTTTCCAACAGGCAATTGAGATGTTACACCTGAGCGTCCTGGCCAGAACCTGGTGCTGAGCTGTCTCTGGTTTACTTTATGGTGTCCATCTGTCTGCCTTCTGGGCTCTTTTCACCCAAGGTTGCAGAGCAGATCAGCCAGGTTCCCAACTGATTGCGTCCTCAGAGGGCCCTCTGTCTGAAGGATCTAAGATGGGAATCGGCACATATGTTCACATTTGTGAAGAGAGAGTAGGACCAAAATATAAATGACCTTGAGATTTCTGCTCCACAACAACCCCATAAAGCTGGCATTTTTAGCCTAATACATTCGGGCCTCCACATCAAAGAGTTCCACATCCACGCATTCAACTAAATGCCGATAGAAAATATTTCTTTTAGTTCCAGAAAGTTCCAAAATGCAAAACTTGCCTTTGCCACAGGCAACTGTTTACACAGAATTTACATTGTATTAGGTATTATAAGCAATCTAGAGATGATTTAAAGTATATGGGAGGATATGTGTAGACTACATGCAAATACTACACCATTTTATATAAGGGATTTGTACTTCTGCAGATTTTGGTATCCACGGGGTCCTGGAACCAATCCCTCATGGATACTGAGGGATGACAGTATTTTTTACAAAGTCAAGCCCCAAGACTCAGGTTAAGTAACCCGTGCCACGTGGCACACATACCAAATGCCAGAGCTGGGATTCAAGCCCTGTCACCACGTGCTCAAACGCCAGGCTCTTTCTGGCCTCCAGTACTGCCTCTCACTGTGAACTAACCTATGTGAGGTTCTCCATCTAACCATGTGGCCTAGTGGGGGTGGACAATACATCCTGGGTCCAGGTAACTCTGGGGTTTTAGACTTCTCCCTCCTATGGTGGCCCTTAAGGACTTTCCTAGGAAACGGCTGATCGGGGTTTCCTTGGCAATCCCACAGCAGTTTGTTCACATTGTGCTAACTGTCCCAAAGATGTGGCTCACCTGGTACTGTATCCGATTCCTTAACAGGTTAGACCTTGCCTTATTCATCGTCATGTCTTCTGCTTCTGGCATGATAGCTGCACACTGTAGGTAAAGATAATGCATCTCACTAATAATGAACTTAAATCACACCTAGAATGTTCCAGAAGTAGGTTGTAATTATAGTAGTTGACTCAAAGACTTAGGGAGCTAGCAAAGCTTCAGAGGTTCTCATCCCAGATTGGCCGGCTGTTTGGGGCACTTTAATTTCTTTGAACTTCGGTTTTCTCATCTGTAATTTCTGATCTCAGACTGTTGTGAGAATTAAAGGAGGGAAGATGTTATGTAAAACACCCAGCACGACGCCCCACACACATTGGGTACTCAACCAAGTGGGTGCACCTTTTCTCCTGCCTTCCCTTTGAATGCTAATTTAGGGTGTGCCTTTGGAAGGTGGAGGTCTTTTAGAAACCCAGAAACTCCAGGGATTCAGAGCTTCTTCAGGTCTCTGCTAGTCTTTGGCTGTAAGTTCAGTAGACTGAAGCCATTAATGACTCACTTATCAGTCTCAACAAACTAATAGATACCGTCCCCCGCATACACGATGTTCTAGTAACTCAAGCAAAGGTATAACTTACCCTGTGAATTTGAGAAATGTCAACGTGCAATTTGGACAGCTCAGACTCAACTGCACACTTTGGTCTCCTTCTACATGGCAGGATGGGTTTTGGCTTGAATCATCTGAGTAAGTTCCTCTGCTCCCCAAGTTTCCTAAAACACATGTTTCATATTCTGAGTATAGACACTATGCAAAAAGGTATTATTTCACCTCCTGGGCAGGAGTGGGAGGAAACTGTGCTCTACACTGGAATTTGACACAACATCGTAAAATTATTATAAATCAATAAAAATGTTAAAAATAATAATAAAAAATAAAAGATACTTAACAGGCATATTTTAAAAAAAAGTAAATCTAAGACAATGTCACACAGTTCCTCCAGAGCAAAGCTGAAAGTTGGTCTCTGGGTCTCCAAATTTTCGATCCTTTCAGCATGTTTAAAGAAAGTGGTGACTGCATTTAAAAGCACCTAGGCTTTTAATATAAAAAAAAAAGCTTTGCAGTTGTGCATTTCTTCCCTTTTGTGTAAAACATTAAAATGATGCTGATGTAATAATGAGGTAATCACATGGTAAGAATTTTTATGCTGTCCATTCCCCAAATGTCAGATATGCTCATGCTTTGGATTTTTTTTAATTGAAGTATAGATGATTTACAAGATTATATTAGTTTCAGTGATTCAATATTTTTGTAGATTATATTTCATTTAAAGTTGTCATAAAAATACTGGCACTATTCCCTGTGCTGTACAATGTATCCTTGTAGCTTATTTATTTTGTATATAATAGTTTGTAGCTCTTAATCTCTTACTCCTGTCTTGCCCTTCTCCTCTTTCCCTTTCCCACTGGTAACCACTAGTTTGTTTTCTGTATCTGTGAGTCTGCTTCTGTTTTGTTGTATTCATTCATTTGCTTTATTTTTTAGTGATAACATACAATAGTTGTCTTTCTCTGTCTGACTTCACTAAGAATAATACCCTCCAGGTCCATCCATGTTGTTGCAAATGGCAAAATTCCATTCTTTTTTATGGCTTGAGTAATATTCCATCATATATATATATATATATATATATATATCATATCATATCATATCTTCTTTATCTATTCTTCTGTTGCTGAGCATTTGTGTTGCTTCCATATCTTGGCTACTACAAATAATGCTGCTATGAACATTGGGGTGCATGTATCTTTTCAAATTAGTGTTTTCATTTTCTTCAGATATATACCCAGGAGTGGGGCTGCTAGAGCATATGGTAAGTCTATTTTTACCTTTGGAAGAAACTCCATACTGTTTTCCATAATAGCTGCACCCATTTACATTCCCATTTTTGCAGAAAAACGAGTTACAGCTCAGTGTTACAGCTCAGTTGTGACAGCAACCTGGATCTGGGCGAGAGACCAAGCAGCACTCAGAGAGCTGGAGAACTCAGGTTTATTATGCCACCGGGCCTACAGGAGTTAACACTCCAAGCTCTGGACCCTGTCTGTAGGTTTACATAGGCTTTTATAGGCTGCCAGTTTACACTTTGCAACATCCTATGCAAATAAGGTATAACAAAAGTTGACTAATTAGGAACAAGCTTTGTATAAATGGACCAGTCGGGAGGGAGAGAAATAACCAATCAGGAGTGAGCTCCATGCAAATAAAGTACTACCAATGGACCAATCAGGAGTGAGGGAAATGGACCAATCAGGAGTGAGCTCAGGGAACCAACAGAATTTTAGGGGTAAGTTCCACTTTCCTAGAAGTAAGCCGTTTCAGAGGCAAAAAGTGAGATAGAGCCTCTGGGGCAGGGAACCGGATGGTGCTGGCAGGAGAGTAGTGGCTCTGCCTGGGGTTCCTGCCTGTCTTTTTTTTTTAATGGGGATTCCCACCTCACCATCAACAGTGTACTAGTGTTCCCTTTTCTCCACATCCTCATGTTGTTTAAGACTTAGCATTTTGTACTCAGATAAAGCAGAAATAATAGGTCAGAACCTCTATTTTTCATTGCCAAGTGAGAGTGATGCTAATGAGGGGTCACAGATTCATTCATTCATTCACTCATTCAAGTGTTTCTCAGGCCCCTCCACTGCACAGAAGACTGTACTCTCCCAGGCTCCAATCAGGCAAGCTTCCTGCAGGAGGTAGTACAATGAGGCTCCATGAGGGAACTGGTGCTGATGGGTGAAGAAGCTGAGGGGGAAAAAATGGAAATAATGACATCTGGTCTACCTAAGTCACAAAAGTTATTTTAGGAATTGTGTGGGATAATGTAGAAGGCATTATTTGAAAATAATGAACTGTACAAATAGTATAATCCAATAAGGAAAGAGAAATAAGACTGTGACCAACTAAGGCTGTAAATGCTATGCACCAAATTCACAGAAAAGACATAAGTCTTCCAGAAGGCTACAGAGTGAAATATCACCCCAAGCCTTGGTAGTTGGAGAATAACCCTTGTCAGAGCTGGGGCTATAGTAGGATCTTCCATTTGTCCTGATCTTTTATTCTTTGGGTGAACGTATATTATTCCAGGACATCCATGTTATAACCTATGATTTCTTGAAATATAAATAGGGAGAGGGTGTTAGCCTCCATTTCACAGATAGGAAAGTCAAGGTCAAAAGAGGTGAATTTGGTGACATACTCAATGTCACAAAGCAACTCAGCCCAGAAGGTGGGAATCCATACAGCTGGGCAGTGGAGCTGGAATGACTGCCAGCAATTACCATTTTAAGGATTAGAGAGAAGCCCTATTTGTACATCCTAGCCACTGATTTTATGGAGGAAGATGCTAAAAAAAAATGGATGTCTGCAAATTACCTGCAGGGTTCAATCCACAGCTGGATGTCTCTTGCCCCATCTCAAGTTATTGAGAATTCTTAGCACCCCAAATCCTGTTCTAACCTGAGCTACTGATTGCTCTTTATGGGAGGGTACTTCCTATTTCTAGAGTCCGGTGGAAGGAACTAGCACTAGGCAGGGGGCTGGAGGACTTCAGATCCATTCTTTCTTTGGGACTCCCGGGCTATATAATCCTAGAAAATTCCCTGAAATTACCTTTGGTGGAACCAACCTTCTCTTAGGTAAAACAGGAAGTAATACGCGTATCTTCTTGCCTCACCAAATCGCTGGGTGATAGTGATAGTGTACCAGGAGAACACAGTTAACATAAATGACTAAAGTGCCATACAAATGCAAGGTATGTTCCTAAGACTGTCTGTAGTAGCTGTTTTAGGACAGAAATAACACACATGATAGCCAGGCAAACAAAATTTCAAAACAAAAATGTCATAGGTGCCCTAGAGATGGGAAAGAACCAGGACAGGATCCCTTCTTTGCAGGTCAAGCAACAAGATGTGGGGAAGTGATGAGTGAACCCAGGCAAGCTCTCCCACAGCAGGAGCATCCAGTGACAGAGGCTGAACACTCAGGGCCCATCTTAGGAAATACATAATTTCAGAGACAGGGGACATGGTCGGTTAGGTCAGGGATAAATGGGAAGGCAAAAAGTAGGGGAAAAGCTATTCTGATTAGGAGACAGCATGTCAGCCCACAAGAGCAGAGCTTTGTGAGCTTCCCTGCTGGGCCCCAGGGCCATGCTTCATGGATGTACCACAGATATTTGCTGAGTGAGGGAACAGATGAGGTGTGGCATGAGCAAAGGGAGGGGATGAAACAGTGGATGGACTTCCTGGCGGGTGCCATGAGTGTTTTGTCCTTGACAAGTGATTACAGCTAGTGATGGCTTTATCCTTGGGCAAGTGAGGGGCTATTGGTATAGAGGCAAGATCAGGACAACCCTTCTTAGGCTGCTCTGGCTTTCAAAAAACACTTTCTAGTCTCCAAGGACAAAAGAGAGCATGAGTCACTAATGGGACAGAGATCTACGTCAACAGGTATAGCTGAGGCATGGACACAGTTGCAGGAGGAAGTCTTTCTGAATGCAAGCCTTTGTCATATTTGCTGCATTTTGCCTGTTAATTCACTTTCACCAAGTGATACTTTCAACAAGAATAGTGCGACAGGGTGGGACATCTGGAATGACAGTGTAAGGAGCTCAGTAGACCATTTCCCCAGTTAAAAAAAAACCATTTAATGGTGAACATTATAAAAAAAAAACAATATAAAGTTCCTGGAAGTCATTCTAATATCATACAGCAAACTGAGCAGCATTTATTCCAGAAAGTCTAATAAGCTTGGTAAGAACAGTGATAATCTATGGCATTTGAGCTAGACCCTGCCTTCTTCCCTCCCCTTCAACTCCCCCCACCCAGCTCTGTGTTAGTGCTGTGTTACAGAAGATTTAACTCCAGGAAAGTGCAGCCAAGAATATTGGGGAAGGGGGCTCCCTTTAACCACAACTTCCAATTAGAGTACAGTTTCACCCGGGGGGGGGGCAGTTATATCTCTCAACCCCCACCAGCTCTGTGTTACAGAAGCCCTATTTCATGGCAGAAAAGACTGGGGATTCCTTCCCCTACTCAAAGTGAAGGCTTATAAG